CCCCCCACATTGTCACTATGGAGATTGTGTCCATGGAAACAGCCATTCTGACGTCTTGGGTCTTTCTTTCCTGTGGTGTCACTGGTTTGAATGTGATGTGAGAGCTTAGGAAGGAAGTGCTGGCATGGGCGGGCACGTGGGGCGGGGCAGGGTGGGGCTGCGGGTAGGACCGTTTCCAACATGAGTGTCCACCACCTTCTTTCTCATCTCCACAGTCTCACCTGGAAGACAAGGAACAGACACTGAGGGCCAGGAACATCCACGTGGTCTGCTGCCAACAGCTCATTCCGTCGTGCCCCTGGGACAGGGCTTTCAGCAGGGACCTGGAGCTCAGACCCCTGTGTAGATGAGCTGTTGATGAGGGACACATCCAAGACCAGTGTTGGTGCCACCACATGGCTTTGGACCTAGAACGTGGTTAAAGGCAACAGTTACCTGACTTAGGGTGCTGGGGCTGAACTCTGAGGGCTCCTCAGGGCGTGTCTGCCTTCCCAGTACACGGAAGGAATCGAGACCAGGAGAGGATTCCCTGACCTCAAGGGGGGCAGCTCAAGGAGCTTCACCAGAGCATGGTGAGCAGTGCTCGGGACCCCTGTGGTTGTGGTTCAGCATTTGGTGGCAGGGCATGGTCCTTAGAGGTGGCTGAGAGCATCCAGCCAACGTGTGGAAGGACGTTCTCAAAGTCCAGCTGCTTAGGGCAATTGTGCATCTGCCTCCAGTTGATACAGCCAGTTCTTTTACACTTAGCAAAGAACACTCTTTCCATGGCCTGGGACAGGGGAGAACAGGTCTCAGCTCATTTCCGAGGCTGGCATGGAGCTGGAGGATGTTAATCCTCCTGGCTCCTGAGGAGCCCGAGGCCCTCCTACCCTGGCTGCCAGGCTTCTCTTGTCTTCCAGCTCAGGTCAGAAAGGTGACTCCACCCATGTAAGGGAGACGGGTTGTTCCAAGGGCCTCTATGGAATGCTCCACGGGCTACCCCATGTTCAAAGGTGTCAGACACAGTAGTTTCCCAGGAATTCAGTCCAGAAAAATTATATTAGGAGCCAGGAGCGGCGGCAGCCTGGCTCCTCACTTGCTTCTGTCAATCACAGTGCTTGTGAGACTGTCATTGGGGCTCACCTTGCTGCTTCCTCAAAGCCCTCTTTGGTGCCCTCTACCGATAAATAAGCCCCAGGAAGCCAGGCACCACCAACCTGTCTGCTTCCATAAAGCTCACTCACATGCAGACCAGTTAAGGTGGCTGGGCCTGCGGGAGCGAAGAATGTGCTATTATCAAGCGCACACGCACACACACCCTCACTCAGGGAGGTTCCTGACTGCTTGGCAGAGAACACCAATGAGCAGGAAGACACTCCACAGAAACAGCACACTGTCATCACATGCATGTAAAGACAGATCCCATGGCTGAGCCATCCTGACATATTCCCAGTATGTCCATGGCCTCCCTAGTCCTGAAGGTGGCTGTGGGCCCCAGATGTCACCCATCCCTCACAATCCATGTGTCCTCCTCCTTGGTGGCACAGGGATTCTCCACTGCTCACTCTGGTTTTCCTGAGGCTAAGGCTGCCAGGAAAGCAAAGAGAGACAGTATTAAACATCAGTCCTTGTGTCGTCTCTGATGCCAACCCCAGGAACCAAGGGCCCTTTGTAAATGCGATGACCAGGGCTCAGTTAATGCGCACCTCAACAAATGACCAGAATGGCATCATCTTGCTGGGGACTTGGGATGTCTGTGTGAACCAAGGCTAGATGCCCACGTGCGCCCTGCCAGGCTCTGTTCGTGGAGGGAAGGACAGAACAGGGTTTGCTCTCCCTGCCAGCAAGTGGCAGTGTTGGGCCTGCGCCCCAGTCTCGCTAATTACTCAGAACAGCAGGCCCTGCACCAGCCCCCCATGTCAGAATGAAGCATGCCTCAGCACTTAGGGACGGGCCTGGCCAGTCAGTTCTGTGCTGCTGACCGTGCATCCCTCCCCTGGGGGCGCCACATGGCTCAGGCAGTGGCAGTCCTTCAGCACCCCAGCCTGGGCTCTGCCCTCCAGCCTTGCCAACATGGGCTTTCCCCAGGGTCCAATGACTTGATGACTAGACTGGCCCAAACACATGGTATCCTGAATGTGATGGGACCCCAACTTCTCAAGAGTGACTTTTTAAAAACTGTTCCTTCAGTAGGAAGAATAGGAAGGAAGGAAAATTCTCTCAGCAATTACTACGTGCCAGGCACTGTGTTAGAAGCTTTACAGGTGGTATTTCATAATAGCACTGAGACCCTGACCCCTGTGTCCAAGATGAAAAGCTGAAGCCTGGAGAGGTGATGCATGTGGCCCAAAGCCACATGGCTGGTTAGAGGTGGGACTGGGGCTCATAAATGGCAAAGCTCTCCTGGCTGGGCTGCAGGGACCGTGCATCCCGCTGCATGGGACGTGGCTCAGAAGAGAGGGCTATGCTCCAGGCAGGGAGCCCAGGAGCAGCCGCAGTGGAGCACATGAATTGCCACTCCTGTGCTGAAGGCGGGTAACTCCCTTTAAACAAAGGCATCTTCATGCTCAGCTGCCCGTGTACACTGAGTGTTTCATCCCCATGCTCCCTAGCTCACTCCCTGTTTTTGGCTGTACCCCTCTATACCCGTGGTGTGACCCTGGGACACTGTCCTTGTGTCCTTCCACATCAGACTCCAAGCCTGCCTTTTCCAACTGCGGCAAGAATCCATCATCTCAACACCACCTGACCTGGCCAGGATTTGCCCAGAGTCTGTTTTCTCATCTCTAAAATACATGTAATTCCCACCCAGAGAGGGAGGGTGTGGAGGGATATCTGATTCTCAATCTGTACTGACTTAGGGCATTTGCAATCAAGGTCCAAGAGTCCTTTCTTAGACTCTTGCGTCCATCCCTTAACACAGACTCACTCAGCACCACTCTGAGTCCTGCTCTGGGCCACGCCAGCATGGTGCAGAGACAGATGCGGTGCCTGCCCTCAAGGGGCCCACAGCTTGGCGGAGAGACAGGCAGTCATCAAGTGAACAAGCTGAACTTGTGGGGATGCCAGGAAGCGGCTGCAGAGTGGGGAGAGCAGGACAATTTCAACAGTGATTAAGAAAGGGAAAGCTTCTCTGGGAAAGTGACACTCAAGCTGAGACCTGGAAGATGAAATGGAGTCTGTCATATGGAGATGGGCAGGCAAAATGCTTCTGGCACAGGGAGCTTAGTGTGCAAAAGCCAGAGGGAAGAAGCCCAGCCCCTGAGGAGCTAAAGGAGACCGGGAGCCTGGAGACCCTTGCCTGAGACTTCCACAGGCTTTTGGGCCAAGGTTAGGAGTCTGGACTTCATTCTAAATGCGACAAGAACCTGAGGTAGAGAGGAGACAGGACAGCAGGGAGGCTTGGTGGAGACTACGCTTGCTGCTGAGAGGCAGGGCTTTGGGCAGCAGCATGGTGTGGAAGCAAGGCACCCTGCAGAAGCTTCACGTGCCTGGGCTGGGGCTGGTGGGGGAGGGAAGGGGACAGACTTGATTCTCCTTTGGATATGTAATCCTGGGGCTTCCCCTGGCCCAGCCTTGGGGAAAAGGGACTCTAGAAGTGACACTTGTTCTTACATGGATTGGCTATGTGACGTCCAGCTCCAGGGGCAGGGAGGCTACCCCCGCCCTTTCCCTGTCTTGCTCAGCTTCCTTCCATGGCTGTTTTGGGCAAGGTGAGTGGGCCAGTGCCATCTCCGTGCACCCAAGACAGAGCGTCAGCCTGCATGAAGGTTACTGCTTCCTGTTCCTGGATCACACGGCCTGGCAGGGGACGTTGGAGCCTCCTGTTTACTATGTGACAGGGGGAGCTGGGTACAGGGTCCTGTTGTCAAAGCCCTGCCCACCAGCCACACAGAAGCCAGCAAGACAACAATAATCTCAGCACAAGCAAAGAGTGGCACCCACAGGTCTGCCACACTCGTCCCTCAGCAATGGGTAGGAGGCAGAAGGTCCAAGGACCTTTCCTCTCTGGCATTCCTGGCCTGGTGAGGGACAAGCGCCAGGTACTCCACACACATGAGGCGTAGGGGCAGCATCTCTTAACCCTCAGCCTTGCGTATTTTCTGCTAGATGGGGCAGCTGCAGGGTCCAATCTGCAGCCTTGACCCCTCCAGCTCCTGCTAGTAGCAAGGCATAGGCAGGCATGGCAGACCCGCAGGCTGTGAGCCAGCGTGCCCAGCGTGTCTCTGTGCTGGCACGTTAGACACATTTTCTAACAGAATGCTCGCAAGGTTGGCATTGTTATTCTTCTTTTTAGAAAAGAAACTGAAGCACAGAGACATTAAGTGGCCTGACCTTGGTCACATGGCACTTTCCATACCACTGTGCCTGAGAAGGTGGGGCACCAGGAGGCAGACACACACGCACGTCCACTATCCCCTCCCTGCCTTGTCGGGGCACCCAATAATGGTGACTCTCTGTCCCCAGCATGGACACCAAGACAAACACTCCTTTAGGGCAGGGGTGTGTTTCTGTCCCCAATCACGGGGGCTCTTGCACAATCCTATGGCGCACCCTGGGCCTGAAGGGCGGTGACTATCCTCAATGCAACTGTACTGAACTGAGAAACCAGGAAAGGCCCCTGTCTGGTGGGAACAACACATGAATAAAACAATTTCAGATGGACAAGGCTAGACACAGCATGCCCGTCCTTTCCCGCCCAGAGGGGAGTGGTCCAACGTCAATGGACTTGAGACTACCTCCACGATGGGTCTGGCCACTTAGTCACTCTGTGCTTCAACCTGGGGAGAAGCGGATGCTGAGCTCATTGTTCTGCTCAAGAGCCGAGGGCCCCGACAGGTGGGAGGGCCCAAGAACAAGCAGAGAGGAACAAGACCATGAACAGAATCCCTAAGAGATTTGCCCACCAGGTCCAGGGTCCAAACTTTCCCTTTTTCTCAAACACAAGCTGGAATTCCAGGACAAAACCCAAAAGCACTGAGCCACCATGGTTCTTTCCACACCAAGTCTTTCAGTCCACTTCCAGGAACACCCATTGGTGCCTACAGAACTTGACTCTCCAATATCTGGGCCAGGCACGGAGGCATCGCTGTGAGATAGCAGAGCCTGCCCAGGCACAGCAACACATGCAAGCCAGGGACCTGAAGAAGGGCCAACAGAGACGGTGCTTTGAAGGTCCACAGGGCTCCATTTGCTCGTTTGGTTCCTGTGACCCAAGAACACACAGGATGGCACCTAGCCACCTGTTCAGCTTTGTTCTGACCCAACCGTTGCTAAACCTGCTCCCTGGAAGAGGAAAAGAGCAAAACAGCACTGCAGGGCACTTCCTAGCACCCCAGCAAGACAGCACTCAGAATCCCAGACATGGTGGGGAGCACAGGGCCTTCCCCAGAAGTCAGCACTGGGACCCACCTAAGAAACAAGTGTCTTTCTCAGAGCAGGAAAACTGCCACATTCTGAGATGAATTAAATTTTTTCCTGAAATTACTGTTAGGTATTCCAGAGAGAGGAGAAAACCTCCCGGTTGAAACCAGGGGGAAGGCATAGTACACAGAGGGCAGTTGAGTATGGTGCTGCCCGAGGGACAGGTCTGGTGCAGCCAGAGCTGTGTAGGTCAGACGTAGGTCAGATGCTGCAGGAGTACCTTCCGCTGAGAGAAATGATCCCTCAAGGGACATCTCTGAGACAGCTAGCCTCCCCACCTCATCCTGTAGTGCTACAAGCTACATTTCGGTTTTTCTTCTCTTCTCTTCACAACCTATTTCCCCTCACACCTCAGAGACTCCTTGGCAGGCAGGGAGGGCAGAGGAGCAGGCGCACAGCAGTGGAGACCTTGGCCTCTAGAGACCCAAGTCCTGTAACCCTATTTTCAGAGACACCCGCTGGACAGCCCGAACCGTGATCCACACACTCACAAAAGCACAGCTCAATCTCTTGAGATTTTTTTCAAGAGTAAAATTAAATCAGATGCTAAAGTCTACTAAATCTTTGAGAGGATTTTCCTTTCCTTTGTACTTCTGTGAAAAGGAATCCTTCATATAGTACTATGAAAAACGGTACTTCAAATATCAAAACCTGGAGAATTTTGTGTTTTTCGAAGGAAATCATACTATAAGCTTCACAGAAATATAGTGAATTAAAAAGAAGAGACCTCTGGCAAGAATCCTCTCTGAGACAGGGAAGAGCAGGGACTGCTGGCAGAAGCACCCTGCCCTAGAGGGTCCATCCTAGGAGCCAGTGACATCTGCCTTCAGGAGCACCACTCATGAGGCCCCCCTCGCCAGTTCTGTCCTGAACCCGTCAGCACCGGGAAGTTTTGAAGACCCCATTACCTTCCCACTAACATTCTGGGAGCTAAGTCACAAACGGGAAAACACTTTATCCACCTGGTGCTGGTAATCCATGTGACTAGACACTGGTGGTGCAGCCTGGGGTGAGCAGGACGGCAGAGGCACCAACACCTGCTGGGAGCAGGCAGGTGACGGTGGGAGCCGGGTGGCCCTGACTCACCTGTGCTTGCTGTCCTCTCCATTCCCACGAGCACACGCCCCCCTCACCCCCGCTCCGACTGCTCTGTGCTGAGGCTGCCTTTCGCGGTCTTGTTCTGCAAGGGGGGGAGAGGGCATGGAAGGGGAGGCTGCCGGCAAAGCCAAGAGGAGACAAGACAGGAGCGACAAAGGAGAGCATGGAACCAGGGAGGGCAGAGGGGACAGGAGCAGCACATGGAAAAGGAAAGAAAAGGCAGAGTCAGTACTGACTGATAAACCGACATTCAGACAAGGCTCTCTGAGGCAAAATGTGGCCATTAAAACAGGGGAGCTCTAGAAGTAACAGTTAAATTCAGTGAAAATGAAGAGAATACTCTAACATCCTATGATCCACTTCTGAAAATAACTTTTTAAGAGAAGTATAAGTGTCTTTCAGGAGCGTTTTGAGAGCAGACCTCTCTCAACCTCTGTGTAGTCCTTTCTGGTCCTACTTGGAGACTAAAGACTATGAGCGGCCAGTGACCACCAGGTGTCAGTGTGACCTCAGTCAGAGAGTGTGGCCACGGCAGGAAACAGGTGGCAGCTGTCTCCATTCTGGTCCTTTCTTGGGGGCCCTTCTCTGGATCTTCTCCTCTCCCACATGTGGTATCTCAAATAGGCTGTTCACCCCTCATCTTCTGCCCTCTCCTAAGAGAGGCAACCATGAGATCACCTCTTAAAGAAACTGGGAAGCGGTGCTGATGCAGCCCATCCCCTGCGCACCAGCAGGTCACTTGTGCTGAATCACAATCTGGAAGAAAACGTGAGTTTCCCCAAAGCCCTGGAATCAACTCTATTTCTTTCGGTCTAAGAAAATGTCTTTGCTTATATATCAAGGCCTAGAACCAATCTTACCAAATGTGAACATTGCAACTGGGGCTCTTTCAAACCACAGTGGAAATCAGTAGTTTTATCAAGTTTGATCTCATTTATCTTAGAACACACAACCCTCACCCCAAAAACTCATTTCTTCCAGCCCCCTCATACGACTCAGGGTACTGACCCTTTGCCACAGGTTTTCCTTCAGTACCATGCCTTTCCACTCTCCCAGGACCAGGAGAGGGCTGGCACCCAAGGCACAAGAGGGGACAGGTGTGGGTGAGGTCTTCCAATGCCTGCTTTTTAGGTCTTTCAGCCACCCTTGACCCCAGCTCTGCTGAGAACATAGGCTCTTGGTGCCCAACTCACCTTGTGCTTGGGGCACCTCACCGAGAAGTTTTCTTCATGTAGCAAACAATCTGCAAGATAGAATGGCACAGTCAGATGGAGACTTCTCGACCTGACATAGCTGGACATGGGTGTGGCCATGCTGGCTGGAATTGACAAGGTCAGACAGGGAGGTAAGAGGTGCCCATATTGTCATTTCTAATAGGAAAACATTAGACACACCCCAAATAAACTATGACACCTTAACACAATGGAATATCACCCACTTGTATAAATATACTAAATCTATTAAAATGTTTTTTATATATATATATATATATATATATATATATACACGTAAAAGACTGAAATGTAATTTACCAAAATATAATAGTAGTTCTCTTTGGGTAGTAAGATTACAAGCGATTTTAATTTAAAAAATTTTTTTTCTATATTTCCAGAATATATTATTTTAAAAATCAGAGACAATCTCTAATAAATGTTATTTTTTAAATCCTTGATTATAGGCTAACTCCATCCGCCAGGCTGAAGCCAAAGCCTCACTGTAAAAACATTTTAAAATCTGGAGGCACTTATCCTCTGTACAGAGACAGCCCAGGTGTCTGAGACAGAAAAGAGCCCAAGCCTGAGAGCCGCACTGTCACCTTTGTCCTGCAACTCATGCAGACACAGAAGCCACGGATACAAATCACATAATCCGCACTAAATGCTTTGGAGGAAAGTACAATCCCCTGAGGGTGCTTTTACTCCCTGGAGGAAAAATGATTCATTCCAACTTTTAACATGGTGATAGCATCCTTGATGACATCAAGGACGCATGTGCCTCCAGGTGAGTCGAGCTCTATGGTGCAAGGGTAGTGCATGGATTGGGGCAAGGAAATCTAATTAATGAGTTCACTCTGCACACCACAGCTCCTGGGGAATGAAAGCCAGGTCACTGGTGCAAGACGTGGTGGCAGAATGTTAATAAATATTGATCACACATCCTCAGAGCTCCCAGGCACCATGGCAGGAGGCAGCCATGGTACTTATCCTTGTTAAATTTAAACTGAGACCCAGATTAGCAGCCTGTGTACCCACAGATTTCAAATGCAATGGTAATAAGCAAGGAAACAAACAAAAACTCTTCAGGTCCCAGTGTCCTAAAAAATAAAAAAAAAGTCCTATTTGGCCAACCCTGGAATATTGCTACCTGTCTTTGGCTGGAGTCCTCGAGTATCTAAGAAAGTGAGCGGCAGCCTTCTCTGCTTCCAGGGCCCAAGGGCTCAGCAAGTCATCGCTAACCTCCGGCCCTCCCCCCGCCCCCGGACCCCAGCAGCAGCTAGTGGCAGTAAATGAAACACGTTAATTTAAAACATATAAGTGCACAGGTGACCAAGACTCCTGCTGCTCCAATCATAGAGTCTATGAGAGGCAGAAAACAGATGACTAGAACTCAAGGGAAGCACATACTCCTTCCCTGGGCCCTGCCAGCACTGTCTGGGCCAAAGAGAAACAATAGTGCACGTGTGGGGCTCGGCTATGCTTATGCCACACGGTTTATACATAGGAGAACAAGGACCATGTGAGTGGCCAAGGGTGCCACTGGAAAGGCACAGATGGCTCAGTTCCCCTCATAGCCATGGAACAGTGACCAGCTGTGACAGACCATTAGTAAAATACATCTAAAGTTAGGAAACGTATTCCCTCTGAGTTAAAAGCAGAAAAGATGTAAAACAATTTGAGTATTAACTTAAGGCAACTTGGAACTAGTGCCAGGTACTTCTGGAAATGGAAGTCTCCTAAAGGAATCTGCCAGAGACAGCGTCCACCTTTGGCAGGGCCTCCTGTGCAGGAACACTGTGCAGACAAATGCTCTTGTCTATTGTTGGATATATCCACAGCCCGTCAAGAACTGCAATTCACAATCCTGGCAGGGGTCAGAACCACAGCCAGAGCGCTCAGAAACCTAGAAGGGCACAGGGGAGCCTCTTCTCCAACCAGTCCCAGCTAGGGAGAATGAAGAGCAAGAAGTGAGGACTCTGAGCAGGCACCTGGCCCCCACCGACAGGGCCAGCCACAGTCTCTCAGTTTGTTTTCTTTAAGGCCTAGGCACTGCCCTACGCCATCTGGAGGGCCCAGTCAGCACTTCTGCATGGTGAGGTCAAAGTAGACAGCTCACTGTATCATCAAGCAAGCTCTGAAAGACAAGGTGGCCTAGTCAACAAGAGGCCTTCCAGACACACACGTCAACACCCCAGAAGAGAAGGCTACTTCCAAAGGCAGGCGGACTTGCTGAGCTCCTCACAAGCTCTGTAGCACTTCGGATATATGGGGGTATATGGATTTATAGCATCCATGTACCCTCAGCCTGAGGATAGCGAGCTTGAGGAGGGTGCAGGAGAAACAAGAAGAGAAGGGCCTAGTGTCTTCTGGATTTGCTGGGCACCAGACACTGTCTCCAGGTCATCTATGATCTGGCTCAGCGCTGCCATTCCTAATATTGGCACAAGGTGGGCCTGCGACACAGGAGCCTGCCAGCCCCACCCTGCCTTGCTGAGGGGCAGGCTCAGGCTCCTGGGGCATAGGGAGGGCAATAGCGGGGCTCCTGGCACCGAGACTGGTTTCTGTGACGCAGACAGCTGCCCTCTGGGGAGGAGCCAGACCAACAGCATTTCATAATGACCCATCCAGGGCTCTGACCCCATCATGGCAAGATCAAAGCCTGCGGGAGAGAGAGCTGCTCTAAAATGCTGCTGTGCAAGGGCAGCTGCACAGAGTGAAATTCTCAGCTGTGTTTCTTCATGACAGTAAAAGAAAAATCCCCTCTAGGCAAGATTCTTTATGTACAGTGGAATTATTAATGAGCTACGAAGGCCCTTTTCTCCTTCTGCTTTAATTGTTGTGGCTCATTGTATTAAACACATTCTCTCTCTTTTTTTTAGCCAGAGCTCATGTTCTTTTTACTGTGTCCCCCACCTGAAGCCAAACCCTATGCCTGTGACACAGCAAGCAGCATAAACAGCTACCGTGACGTCAGAAATGCAGGTAACATCAGGTGGGGGAAGCTGTAGGAGCTACATAACCTCGTGAAACAGAGATTCTGTTTCCATGGAGACATCCCAGTAATAAAACTTTTCCCTGAGACATCAACAGCTCTTTAAAGATCTGGGCGGTTGACGACAAGACAGAGACGAAAATGTTAAACTGCTCCTTACTCCACAGAGAGATTAGGGACTCTTGAAACCAAGGACTTATTTTTGTTATGAACAGAAAGAAAAGTCAATCAATGAAAACCTTTCCTGGATATAAAGATACATCATATACAGGGCAGAATTCCTGAGAAGACGGTGTGGAATAAATACAGGCATCCATCCCTACAGAGGAGTACAGGCCTCTGGGTCATTGTGACTTGGGTCATCAAAAAGACCGCAGTGCCCAAGACATGGCCATCTTGTGAAACTGCTTCTTTGGTCCCAGTTCTCCACACAGAAGGACAGAGTGTGCAGCAGCAAGGGCGGTGAAGCCAGAGGGCCGAAAGCCCCACCTTCACCACTCCTGACCTGAGGCCTCCCTTTCACTAGACACTTGACCACCAACTTCTGTTAAATAGAGATGTTACCAGCTTAACTGGGCAGGCTACCAAGACAGGCTCAAAAAGAGAAAGTGACAGGTATCATTTAGTTACAAACCCTTAGCTAATAAAGAAGGCCCTGCTTTCCTGCTGGTGGGGCGGTCTGGGCAAGCTTCCGTCAGAGGAGAGGATGTCCTAGCGTCCCATGGCCCTTTCCAAAGAATCCCAACCACACTGCCTGAACCTGATTGATCAAGGTGGCTCTACACCTGTGCTGTTCAGCCACTAGCTACACATGGCCAAAGTTTAAATTTTAAAAAAATTTCATTCCTCAGTCCCAGTAGACAAATTTCACATGCTCAATGTTCACATCCGTCTTGTTGTTACCATACTGGAGAGTGCAGACCTAGAGCATGTCTACCATTGCAGAAAGTTCCTTTGAGAAGCTGTACCAGGCAGCAGGCTGTGAGTGGGAGCAGACAGCAGCCTCCAAGGTAGGCCCTTGCTGCTGTAAGCCTGTCACTGACAAGGCTGGTCCCCCAGTGAGCACATGGAGTATGCCTGGGTGGGATGGGGTGCCTGCCTGCCTACTCACCCTTACGTTTCTTAGCAGAACCTCAGTGGGGAAGACCACTTCTTCCCCAACTGGGAGAGCCAATACCCAGTATTTCCCACATAAAACTAACAAACCATCGAAAACTTAACACTTAAAAATCCTCATTTAGAGCTCGGCCTGTAGTTCCAGCTCCTTGGGAGGCTGAGGCGGGAGGATGGCTTGAGCCCAGGAATTCAAGTTCAGCCTAGGCAACATAGTGAGATCCTGTCTCTTTAAAAAAACAAAAACAAACAAAACCCCCCAAAACCCCCTCATTTAAAACCACAAAGCTTCAACTAGAAAAAAGAAAACAAAACATTCAGATGTAACTAGGGGCAGTATAATGAAAACGAGAACAGGCAACCAGTTGGCTCTTGAGAAAAAAGGATTTAACAGTTGTACTATACAATATGCCAGATGAGGACCCTGGGTGAATTACAGATTAGACTCAACATGGCAACATTCAGAGGAAGGAAGAAAATGGAAGGGATAGACTAAAACCCAAATTCTCTGAACTGACATTTCAAGGCTCTCTACGTCTCACTCCCTGCTCATCCCTCTGGTCAAACAGTGCCCTGGCCACCAAGCTGCTCTCCAGCGCGCGTGCACACACGCACTTTTCTAAGAATCCAACTTTGGCATGAGCATTATTCTCTGTACCTCTCTTGTTCTTTTTAGCTGTTCTTTCCATAGAAACTTGGAGAGAAAAGAAGAGGGAAGGGGGAAGGAAAGGCAAAGAGAAGGCGGGGAAAGGAATGGGGTCATGCTTATGCAAAAGTCAGGGAGCTGAAGCAACTTCTGCACTGGAAGGAAGGGCGGGCAGGGTGAACCTGAGACCCACTCTGTGCCCGTGGGAGTGCCTGTTCCCCTAATCTGGTCAGCCATGCCCTCCCCTCTTCCCAGCCAAATCCAAATCAAAGCCCACCTCATAGAGACAGCAAGGCTGCATCTGTGGACAGCTCTGTTCTTTCCTCAGAACCTGGGCAGCACGCAGATAACAAGCATCATGCTACTTGCTGCATTCTCATTTCTCCATTCTCCTTTCCCTCCAGCCTGACTGCAGGCATTATGAGGGCTGGCTGGGTGAAGGTCTTAGACACATCTAATGCTCAAAAAAGTCACTGTTGGATATTATGTTAAGTGAAATAAGCCAGGAAAGGAAAGTTAAAGACTGAATGTCCTCATATATGGAAGATAAAAAAAAAAAAAAAAGCTGATCTCATAGAAGTACAAAGTAAAACAGAGGACACTAGCAGCTGGGAAAGGGTATGGGAAGGGAGGGATTTTTTTTTTTTTTTTTTTTTTGAGACAGAGTCTTACTCTGTTGCCTGGGCTAGAGTGCAGTGGTATCAGCCTAGCTCACAGCAACCTCAAACTCCTGGGCTCAAGCAATCCTACTACCTCAGCCTCCTGAGTAGCTGGGACTACAGGCATGTGCCACCATGCCCGACTAATTTTTTCTATATATTTTAGTTGTCCAGCTAATTTCTTTCTATTTTTAGTAGAGATGAGGTCTAGCTCTTGCTCAGGCTGGTCTCGAACTCCTGAGCTCAATCGATCCACCCGCCTTGGCCTCCCAGAGTGCTAGGTTTACAGGTGTGAGCCACTGTGCCTGGCCGGGATTTCTTAAAGAACACAAAATTACAGCTAGATAGGAGGACTAAGTTCTATACCACTGCAGGATAACTATAGTTAACGATAAATTATATAGTTTCAAATAGCTACAAAGAAGAAATTAAATGTTCCAGCGCAAAGTGTTTGAGATGATGGATGGCTAATTACTCTGATCTGATCACTATACATATGGGTACCAAAACATCACTATGTACACCATGAATATGCACAATTATTTGTCAATTAAAAAAACTTAAAAAAAGAATAAACCAAACAAACTGAAATTAACACTTCCCCCGCCAAAAAAAAACCTAGGGAAAATATCCAGTGAAGAGACTGAAGGTGATTTTCCCAAGCTGTTGAAGCTCTGAGTCAGAACTCAAGTCTCTTGAATCACTCACTGGATGGAACTTCTTGGACAGGTTTCCCTTCTCTCAAGTTATCACACAGCAAAACATTGCCCATACCATCTCAACAGACAAAATGCAGCACCCCTTGTAATACTGTGATTAAGAAATACACATCTAGGCCGGGCGCGGTGGCTCACGCCTGTAATCCTAGCACTCTGGGAGGCCGAGGTGGGTGGATCGCTCAAGGTCAGGAGTTCGAGACCAGCCTGAGCAAGAGCGAGACCCCGTCTCTACTAAAAACAGAAAGAAATTATCTGGACAGCTAAAAATATATATATAGAAAAAATTAGCCGGGCATGGTGGCACATGCCTGTAGTCCCAGCTACGCGGGAGGCTGAGGCAGGAGGATCGCTTGAGCCCAGGAGTTTGAGGTTGCTGTGAGCTAGGCTGATGCCACGGCACTCACTCTAGCCAGGGCAACAGACTGAGACTCTGTCTCAAAAAAAAAGAAAAAAAAAAGAAATACACATCTAGCACATTAATGGAACATGAAGAGGGGTTCTTGGGAACCCCAATTGATAGCTGGTCATTCAGAAGCACAGGTCACCACCTGGGCCTTGAGACTGGCATCTGAAATGGGAAGCAGCCTTGTGGGGCTGAGTCCTTAACCTGTGGGGTCTGCACTAACTCTGGTTACTATCAGAATTGAGTTAAACTGTGGGACACCTTATCGGTGTCTCCTGGAGAAGTGTTTAGTGTGTGGGGAAAACCCTACACATCTGGGTCACAGAAGTGTGTAGTACTGTGTTGAGTTGTGTGAAAGTAGAAAAATAGTATGGTTTTTTTCTAACTCATACACAACCCTCCATGATAAAAACACTCAACAAACTAGGACTAGAAAGGAATTCCCTCAGCTGTATCAAGAACATCTATGAAATACCCACAGCTAATATTTAATGGATCAGGAACAAGACAAGGATGTCAGCTCTGGACACTTCTATCCAATATTTTGCTGGAGGTTCTAGCCAGGGCTATCAGGCAAGAAAAAGAAAAAAAGGCATCAGATTGGAAAGGAAAAAGTAAAACTGTATATTTATAGATGACATGATCTTGTATATAAAAATATGCTATAAAACTATCAGAACCAATCAATAAGTTGCAGGATACATGACCAATACACAAAAATCAATTCTATTTCTATATACTCACGATGAACAACCCAAAAATTAAAAAAAATTCCACTTAGCACTAAATATAATAAAATACTCAGGAATAAGTTTAATAAAAAAAGGCAAAACTTATAATCTGAAAACTACAAAACACTGTTAAAAGAAATTAAAGACCTAAATGGAAAGTCATCCCATGATCATGAATTGGAAAACATAATATTATTAAGATGACAATACCGCCTAAATTTGATCTACAGACTCAACGCAATCTATGAAAATGTCAACAGCCTTTTTTCTTATTTTTTTTTTTTTTTACAGAAATGGATAAGCCGATCCTAAAATTCATATGGGTATAGAAAGAGGACCAGAATAGTCAAAACCATTTTGAAAAAAAGGAATAAAATTGGAAAACTCACACTTCCCAATTTCAAAACCTACTACAAAGCTACAGTAAACAAGACAGTGTAGTGCTGGAGAGTCCATAAATAAGTCTATACATCCATGGTCAACTGATTTTTGACAAAGGTGCCAAGATTATCAATGAGGATAGAATGGTCATTTCTATAAATGGTGCTAGGACAACTGGATATCCAGATGCAAAAGAATGAATCTGGACTCCTACTTCGCACCATATACAAAAATTAATTCAAGCTGGATCAAAGACCTAAAGGTAAGAGCTAAAATTACAAAACTCTTAGGAGAAAATATAGGTGTAAATCTTTGTGACTCTGGATTAGGGAATGATTTCTTTGATATGACACCAAAAGCATACAATAAAAGAAAAAATAGATAAACTGGACTTCATCAAAATTAAACTTTTCTATTTCAAACGATGCTATCAGGAAAGTAAAAAGACAACTCACAGAATGGAAGAAAAAATATTTGCAAGACATATATCCAGAATTACAAAGAATTCTCAACAATAAAAAGACAACTCAATATAACAATGGGCAAAGGATCTGAATAGCTATTTCTCCCAGGAAGATACACAAATGGCCAATAAACACATAAAAAGATGCTCAACATCACTAGCCATCAGGGAAACACAAATCAAAAACACAATGATATACCATTTCACATTCATTGGAATGACTATAATTAAAAAAAAAAAAAAAGACATAACAACAAGTGTCAGTGAGGATGTGGAGAAACTGGAATCCTCATACACTGTTAGTGGGAAGGTAAATTGGTGCATCCGACTTTGGAAAACAGCCTGGCAGTTCCTCAAAAGGTTAAACAGAGTTACCACATGACCAGCAATTCCACTTCTAGGTATATACTCAACTAAAAACGTATCCACACAAAGACTTGTATGTAAATGTTCTACATTACTCATAAAAGTCAAAAAGTAGAAACAACCCAAATGTCCGTCAACCAATAAATGGATAGACAAAATATGGTATATTCTTTACAAAAAGATACCATTTGGCAATAAAAACAAAGTACTGATACATGCCACAATGTGGACGGACCTTAAAAACATTACTCAAAGTGAAGGAAACTAGTCACAAAAGGCCACATATTGTATGATTCCATTTATGTGAAATGTACAGAATAGTCAAATCCATAGAGATAGAAAGCAGATTAGCGGCTGCCAGGTGGCTGGAGGGAGGGGAAGGAAGGTGACTGACTGCTAATGGGTAGAAGTTTTTTAATGAAGTGATGAAAATGTTCTAGAATTTATTGTGGTGATAGTTGCATAACTCTGTGACTATACTAAAAACCACGGAAAGTACATTTAACACATTAACTGCCATGTGAGTTGTATTAAACTCATGCTAGTTTTGAGCCTGGGGCCTCATGAAGCATGTGTAACTCACACATTTCTTCACCTTGGGAGCCACGAGAACTATTTGTCAAGTTGCATATAACTCACACACGGAAAACAATAAAAAGTAACAAATGTTTCATTAAATTAGAAAGGATCGTTTTATTTTCAAAGTTTTTATTCTATTTTCATAACAAAACATCATGGCCCCAAGGGGAAAAAAAAATTCTTTTTCTAGTGTGGCAGTCAATGTGTTAAATAGGTGAATCATATGTAAATTAGGTAAAACTTTTATTGAAATGCAGAAAGGATAATACAAACAGAACAGGGTCAAGAGACAACCACCCCCCAAAAAAAACTACAAAGAAGGTAAAAAAGGAAGAGAATCAAACTGCATGTCATAGCCTTTTGGATTCTGTATGTCTTAACCCTTTGGATGCTCTGGACAAGGTGTGGGGTCCCGTCTTACCTGCATCAATGGCACACGGGTAATGGTATCGGAAGGAGCAGCCTTTGTTGTAGCAGCCCAAGGTGGCGCCTGCCTCCTGGCAGTGGGAACATTTCTGAAAGGAAAGAAAAAGTCAGGCATGTCGGTATCCCAGATTCACCCCTCCTCCAGGTCCCCATTGGTTAGATCTCAGGAGCACGTGTTTCTGTGGTTAGAGGAACTTGTGGTAGCAGGATGGACTGGTCATTTTCTAACCACCACTCACTGACCACGCCATGGGAAGGGATCCAACAATGACGTTTTAGGCCAGGCCTCACACATATTGTCAAATCAAACAGAACATAGCAGGGTGAGAAAAGCAATCCTACAGTGCATGTGTGAACACGCCAGAGGGTGAGGCATCCAGCCCTGCCTCTGGTGTCCCCACCATCCACCTGCCCACATGCTCTGCTGGTCATTTCCTCACTGCTATTGTGAGCTGCCTGCAGATCTTCCCTGTTTACTTACGCTGTGAAAATCTGGGGTAGGAGGAAAGGGTAAGGTAGTAGAATTATATATAAATCTTTTAGAATTAAAAGTGGAATCTGGTTTCTAGTTATTATACTTGTAAGAAGACTTTATTTTTATTTTTGATCTACTTACCCCAAATGCCCAATACGAGTATATTTCCCTTTCAGAAAATATGGGCTCCTGTGTGCAAATGTTATTTTTATACCCGAATCTTATTTTAAATGCACTAGAAGACCTGCCATGAATTTCTAGCTAAGTGAGACATTTTTCTGTAATCAAGATGCTCCTCCTTATATAGTCAGGTTTTCTTAAAGTGGGGCACATCTCTGTCATCCCTGTGATGTGGTCGCTATGAGTGCGCATCCTGTCAGTACAAGAAACATGTGTCTTATCAACGACAATCATATCTGTAAAACACAACCACATGTGGCCCTACTGAGGAAGGATGCAGACTCTTCAGGTGGTAGAGGCACACCCAGATAAGACTAACCGGAAGATACAGACACTTGTTTTGGCGCCTATGAAAAATAAAAGTGCTCCCTAAGCAATTACACTCGAGCTGGCTCAAGCCCCCATAAGGCCAATGCAGATGGAAAACTACACTAACGCCAGCAACACTGAAGCCCAAGTGCTAGAAGGGCTGCAGGAACTGCGCTGGATTAACGCAGCCAATCCTCTGAACTAACCCACTGGGTAGGTCCTCCTAACATCACAGATGAGATACATGAGGCACCAGAGGGAAAGTATCTTGTTCCAGGTCAGAGCTAGATTGAGGCTCACCACCCCTGGCACCCTCCAGAGACAAATGGGGGCAGGAACAGGGCTGCAAGTCCTTCAAGAGCTTTGCCCCCCTCGCAGAACACCAAGACCCTTCTGGGTGCCGATAATCAGTAAACGTTTACCATGTGTCCTCATATCCTTGTTAAGAAAGGAGAGATCACTTTGCTTAGAGTGAACAAGGACAGTTAACAGCATTTCTGGTAGCCCTAGACTTTATCTACTTTTATTAGTGCCCCAGAGCACCTTCAGGAAAAAGACGAGTAGTTATCAATCTGAGGGAATGAAGAGTGGCCCGTCTACCCCTTTCTTGCTCCAGGAGTCACGGCCACTCTCAGCCGTCCATAGGGCGTGCATTCCCAGCTCTCTCCACCCTGAGGAGTGAGTCTCATTTAGTGGTGGCCACTTAGGAATGGGTGAGTCAAACATTTCTGGTAGGAAAGCCTTCAGGGAAAGGGGCTTCTGCAAAAGTTCAGTCCTTTTAAAAAAGGATAAGAAGTCAGCACAGTGGTGTGGGCGCCTGTAGTCCCAGCTACTTGGGAGGCTAAGGTGAGAGGATTGCTTGAGGCCAGGAGGTTGAGACTAGTCTAGGCAATATAGCAAGACCCTCATCTCTTAAAAAAGGGGGGTGGAGGGACAAGAGGGACAAACAGGCCATCTTCTCACTCAGCCTGTGAGGACTGAATGGTGGGATCTGTAGCAGCCATTGTATCACAAGGGGACAGTCCTGAAGACAAATCGACATGCTGAGGATGGCAGAGTGACAAGAAGGAGAGACCTGGACCCATCCTGACACCACCGAGCATTAAATCACCTGACCCCAGGACCACCCCACCTCTAGACTTGTTACAGGAAACTTATTAATAATAATAAAAAAACTCCAATAAAACCCATTTCAGTTTAATTTTCTAACCTGCAGTCAAATATCCTAATTGATGTAGGAAGAGATCTACTATTCAAGACACTGCTGTATAAAGGTTAGTATGTAGGCTCTGGAATGTAAATAACTGCCTGGTAAGCGACTCCACCACTTTCTAGCTATACCTTCTTGGCCCAATTCCCAACCTTTGTTTTTTCAACAAAGGGACTAATAACAGCACTCACCTCGCAGAAATGTTGTGAGGGTTAAATGCATCAATCCAGGCTTAGAACAGTAGCTGGATCAAAAGTGCCAAATAAATTTGACTAAAGATGACCACATGCCAGACTCACACTAGACATTCTGCACAAATCATCTCATGAGGAACACACGTGAGCAGACCTTGCCACCCCACTTTATAGGAGGGAGGAAAAGACATGGAGCTTGGAGCTGGACAATGTCCATTCTTCCTTCCCACCTCAACTCAGCAAGAAATCCCATCAATAATCATGGTTGTTTCTTTCCATTAAAAAGCATGACTAATTTACTATGTTGCATTCAAAGAGGAAAAACTCTGCTAGGTGTATTAGGGCCTTAAAGGAAGAACCTTAAACCTTAGTTCGGTGGTTCTCAAAGTGTGGTCCCTGGACCAGCAGCATCAGCCTCACCTGAGAACTTGTTAGCAATGGCAACTTTTGGGTCCCACCTCAATGTGTGTTGTAACAAGTCCTCCAGGCCATGCTGATGCAAAGTGAAGTTTGAAAACCACTGGTCTAATTCAACTCCCCAATTTTTTAGATGTGGGAAAGAGACTCAGAGAGATATTATATAATGACTGGCTGAGCTAGGATTCTAGTTTTCCTGAGAGCCATTTAGTGCTTTCTCCACAATACTTCCATCCCCTACAGAGCAATCTACAGATCACGGGGTGTGGTAAGCAGAATTACGGCTTCCCAAAGATGTTCATTCGAATGCCCAGAACCTGTGACCTTAAATGGCAAATAAACTCTTCAGATGAGATGAAGTTAAGGACCTTGAGATGGGAAGAGTACGCTAGATTATCCAGGTGGGCCAAATCTAATCACATGGGTCCATGAAAGCGAAGAACCTCTCCCAGAGGGAGCCAGTGTCACAGGCCTTAGGAAGATGTGATGATGAGAGCAGGGCAGCAGAGATGCGACGCTGCTGGCTTCGAAGATTGAAGAAGGCCACGAGCCAAGGAATCACATTCTTCCCCAGAGCCTCCAAAAAGGAACACAGCTCAGCCCACATTTTAATCTAGCCCAGTGAGACACCTATGTTGGACTTCTAACTTTCAAAAACTGTAAGATAAAACAGGTTTGTGGTAACGTGTTCTAATAATGATAGAAAACTAATACATGGGGATTTCCCAAGAATCTCATAATAAAAGAAGTGACTGTTCATTCTCCTTTTACATTCTTCAAGGTAACACATTTCTCCCTCATGGAAACACCTACAATTTCACTCATTTTTGTTTGGTTTTTTTTTTTTTTTGAGAAAGGATCTCACTCGTTTTGTTGCCCAGGCTGGAGTGCAGTGGTGTTATTATAGCTCACTGCAACCTCAAACTCTTGAGGCTCAAGCAATCCTCCAGCCTCAGCCTCCCAAGTAGCTGGGACTAGAAGCATGTGCCACCACACCTAGCTAATTTTAAAATTTCTTGTAGAGACAGGGTATTGCGATGTTGCCCAGGCTGGTCTTGAACTCCTGGACTCAAGCGATCTCCTGCCTCAGCCTCCCGAAGTGCTGGCATTACAGGCGTGAGCCACTGTGCCCCGTGTCACTTTTCATTAGGCAAATTTTGGCATCACAAGATCACTAAAGAAGGGACTCTGGCTCTGTCTTCAATGTCCTTTTTTTCTAGTTGAAGAAATAGAGGCTAAAGCAAAGGTACCTGCAGAGGATCCAACAGGTAGTAACAGAATTTAGAATTTCAGCCTTTTTTCTTCTAAACCTCAAATTCAACATTCTTCATAGCATACTCTGATGCCTTTTAGTCCCCTTCATTCCCTCAACTGCCCAACATTTGAAAAGTACTTCCTAAGTACCAGGTGCTGAAGATAGACTATAAAAACTTATCTCTATAATATCTTCTCTGCTCTCCTCTTCTATCACAAAAAATCAATACCCAGGCTAGTACCATTTCCAATTAGATTTTTATTCTTTACTTTTTGCCTGAAAAAACTATTTATACTAACATTCTCCCATACTGTAAATAATATAATAAAGTCACTGCATAGCTAAATGTCTTTTGTTTTTAACTACACTGTTACTACAGGTTTAGCAATATTCACTGCTAGGAGAGCTAAGTCCACACAATACTACTCCCAAGCAAAATGAGACACAGTGGGGGCTTCAAGCATGGTTTCTAAACCAAGATGTATTTTTCAAACAAGCAACAGCCCAAACTTCTGATGACAGAATGATCTTTTAATAGTGAATTTTCCATTTATTAAGGAGGGGAATAAAAGCTACTTTTTAAGAAACTCAGGCAAAAATCTTGTACTTCTTGGTACTATAAACTTGGGAAATAAATTATAAAATGATTTAGTTTTGGGGCATGTTTAAAGCGGTCAGACACCCAACCTGAACCGTTCACCAGTCCCTGTCTCAGAGGCAGGGCTTGATGACTTGAGGTGGCAAACTACAGGGGCTGAATCAACTAAGAGCCTTATCTGAGGGATGTTCCAAGGGAGAAGTCTACATGCTTCTTCATTCACAGAAACGCTCTTTCCTATGAGATTAACAGTGACCTGAATAATCACTCTGTTTAACGACCACCTCACTGCAGCCTCAGAGTGCCAAAGCATTTGGGTCAGAGTATTATTATTGCATCGATGACTACTGGTTCTGTCCAAGCCTTGTAGATCACACACTTTGCCACTACTGTGCCCTGGATGGCTTTTATCCAGCACTCCACACACTTTTGCTTGTGCTTACAGTATTTA